TGCAACGGAGCAGCGAGAGTGAACTGTGCATCGAGACCCCCAAGGCATCTACCACTGAGGAAAAGGGCAAGAAGGCAGCCAAGGGCTGCCCCACAGGCAGCCGTGATAGCCGGCCCCTGGACCTGCTGCACAAGATGGAGTCCAAGAGCTCCGGCCAGCTCTCGTGGCTCTCTGTGTCCACGGATGTGGCCCTGGGCTGCCGGACTAACATATTCCAGATCCAGCGGGCGACAGGCCACAAACACACTGAGAAGCATGCTGGCTGTGGCTCCACTGTCCACATTCACCCCCAGGCTGCTCCTGTGGTGTGTCGACATGTCCCGGATACACTCATCCAGTTAGCCAAGGTGAGGACTGGCCTAGTATGGGGCCCTTGCACCTAGAGCAGGGCAGTGACCGAAGCATACTAGGAGCCCGAGGATGAGGTGGGGCAGGGATGGAGCACTAAGAAATGGGTTACAAGGAGAGCCTTATGAGTCATAGAGCCTGACCTCCTCACTTGACACAGATCTCAGGGTTAGTGGCCAAGGACCACCCTAGGAACGGCTCTCTGTGATCGTGTGTCATTGATCATCTGATATGGCTGGGAGCTGAGCTAGGCGTGGGGGCAGGGGGTCGTTGATGTGTTTCATGGGCCTAGTCCCCTTCTCAACAGCCTGGCAGTGTGGCCCATTCGCAGCCTCCCGTCTGAGCCAAAGCAGGCATGGTTCTGGCTTCGGGTGCCGCCACCCACCTATCCCCGCTTCCCCACAGGTCTTCCCCAGTCACTTCACACGGCAGCGGACCAAAGAGAGGAATTGTGACAGCGATCGGGAGAGGAGCAACACACAGGCCTGTAGCCCCTGTCCCAGCCAGTCCACCAGCGGCAGTATTTCCACTGACTTCTGGGACTCGTTGGTCAAACTGGACAATGTGAACGTCAGCCGAAAAGGCAAAAACTCTGTCAAGTCAGTGCCTGTCAATGTGGGCAGTGAGGGAGAGCCCTCTGTGTACAGCCTTGAAGCCTCTCACCTAGGGCAGCTCATGAACACGCTGTCTCATCCGGTCATCCGCCGGAGCTCCCTCCTCACCAAGAAACTCCTGCTCCTCTTGTCCCTCATCTCCATTGCACTGCCTGAGAACAAAGCACCAGAGACTCTGGCCAACCCGGGCAGCAGCACCGGCACTCCTTCCGCTACCATTGCCTCCTCAGCAAGTGGCACCTCCACCAATACTGGACTTGCCACCCCAGGCCCCCTTACCCCCAGCCCCACCCCAGCTGGAGCCTCAGCCACTGCTGCCGTGGCAGCCACCCCAGCTGCTGTTGTTGCAAGTGAGTTGTAGTGGCGGGGTTCTCCAAGGTTGTCTGCTGGACCTTCCACGGGAGCCATTTCAGTCACAGCTGAGGCTCTAGTAGTCAATCAGTTGCGGGCCAGTGGCAGCGGAAAGCATGGTGCATATTTGGGCAAGAGGAGCTGGTAGAGGTCTGTGAGAGTAGAAGGGATGGCACTGTGAGGCTTCTGCTAGGCTGAGGGACAGGTCCTGGTGCTGTGGAGCGGGTATCAGGGCATCTAGTGGGAGCTCACGATGTCAAGACCTGGTTCTCAGCCCTGAGGGAGAATTCTCTTCCTAGAGTCAGGCTACTGTTCTCCTTAGAAGCCATCAAGGCCTGGCCACCCATTAGACAACAGCAGAAGCTGAGGCCCTCCATTGCCAGTGGGCAACACCCATCCCTGTCTCACTGAGCTGGCCTCTAGTTGTCTTATTTGCCTGGCACTCACTCCTCTCATTGTTATTCCTTTGAAGCTACTGCTAAGAGCAGCAAATCTCCAGAGAAGGCTGGCGAGGGAGGCAGTGGGAGCAGTATAGAGAGCGAGATGGCAGCATCGGGCCTAACCGAAAATCAGCTCCAGCTCTCTGTGGAGGTGAGGAGTGGGCCGGGGAGGGGGACAAGAGTAAACAGCATGTGACTTGAAGCTGCCCCAGTTACACTCACTCCCTCTTCCCCTAGGTGCTGACCTCGCACTCGTGTTCAGAAGAAGGCCTGGAAGATGCAGCCGATGTTCTGCTACAACTTTCCAGGGGTGACCCAGCGACCCGAGACACTGTTCTTAAGCTGCTGTTAAATGGAGCCAGGCATCTGGGTTATACCCTGTGCAAACAGATTGGTAAGAGGGGAAGGAGGCCCAAAACCTGCCTCAGGGAAAAGGCAGCAGTCCTTAGCATTCTCTCCTTCCCTCCCCACCTCCTGGTTTTCACCCTGAGCTCAGGCACAGCCTCACCTTCCAGGGCCTTCAAAGGTGCCCCCCTGGGTTCTCAGACAGTATCTTGCCTAAAACTAAAGTTTGTGGAGTGAGGGCATTCAGTTGTCTCCCTGGGCCTTGTGAAAAGCACTGCTTTCTCCCAGCTCCATTCCTCCTAGAGAGTTGTAGGAAAACGCCCTCCAACAGGCCCTGAATGGGGCCCTTGGAGACCATTTGGCCCAACTCCCTCACTGTGGGGTTGAGGAAACAGAACCATATTGGGGGGGGGGCTTTTGGTTCTGCAGTCTCCTTACTTCCTCCCTGGCTCCTGCTAGGGATCCCAGTAAGAAAAAGAAGCCACCTTCAAGGCCCACTGGGCCCCTTTTGTCTTCTCTGGGGATTGGACGACAGGTGTGGGAACCTGAGGAAGTCTGTGAAGGAGCACGGGATGCAGCTGCACCCCCACTGTCTTGGCATCAGCAGGACTGCCAGGCAAATTCTCCCCCCTCACTCCCCAGAGATGGCTCTGACTATCCTTTGCTGCTTCTGCTCACCTCAGGGACCCTCCTAGCCGAGCTTTGAGAATACAATTTGGAGCAGCAGCGGCAAGCCCAGTGTGAGATCCTGTCTCCAGATGGGCTGCCCAAAGAGCAACCGCAGGCTACCTGACTGAAAGGAAAGATGCAGAGCAGGTGGGCCACTGGTCTTCTGGGCAACACCTAGGCTCCACAGTGTTGGTGGCCAAGGCGTAGCCTACTGGCAGCACCCTTTTCCTTCCCTGGGCATGTGTTTCCTACTCTCATCTCCTCTTCCTCCCCTACCCTCATCCCATCCTCCCTTCCTCTTCTCTCTCATCTCTCTCTCTTTCTTCCTCTCTGTCTCTGTCTCTTTCTTCCTCTCTGTTTCTCTCTTCTTTGCCTCCCTTTCTTTCTCTTCCCCCCTTCACTCGGTGTATGTGTCTTTCTCTGCGCGTGCGCAATTAGGGTGCACACACACACACACACACAGCACCCCCACCCACACCACCCCGGGTCTCCTTCGCTCTCTTTTCTCTCTCTCACACTCACATAGCCACAACCACAGCAAAAACACCCCTCTGCCCGGCCCCCTAGGTTTGACACAGCTGAGAATGTGGTGATCGTGGCATCTCAGAAGCGCCCACTGGGCGGTCGAGAGCTCCAACTGCCGTCCATGTCCATGCTGACGTCAAAAACGTCCACGCAGAAGTTCTTCCTGCGTGTGCTGCAGGTCATCATTCAGCTCCGAGATGACACACGCAGGGCTAACAAGAAGGCCAAGTAGACAGGCAGGCTAGGTAGGCCACTTAGCCAGGGGCCCACCTTGTCCAGGTCTGGAGCTCAGGCACAGGATGCCAGCCAGTGGTTGGTCTCTATTCCATTTCCTCATCCAAGGGGCTGTAGGGGGAGGGGGTGAGGACTCACTCTTTCTGGCTTTGCTCAGTGCCCTGCGGCTGTGCCCTTGGAACACCCCTTGGTCACCAGCCGCTGCGGCTTCCCCGGGGTTGCTTCTGCCCTCTTTCTGCAGCCTGAAGGGCCTTCTATCTGCTCCCCATTCCCAGGCACCTCCAGCCTGGGCTCGGCTAGCAGCATCCAGGCAGCTGTTCGGCAGCTGGAGGCTGAGGCTGATGCCATTATACAAATGGTACGTGAGGGTCAAAGGGCGCGGAGACAGCAGCAAGCAGCAACGGTTAGCATGATGCCTGGGGCCTCTCATTTGTTCATTTTCTTTTTTCTTTCTTCATCCGCGTGTTGTTCTTCTTCCCCACCCCACCACACTCCCCACTCTGTGCTTGTCCGTGAGCTTAATGTCCAGATGCTTCTAGGGAGCAGAAGTTAAGTTTCATTTCTCGGTTTTTCTCCTTCCTTTGTGTGGGCTCAGCCCTGACCCTCTTAGTTGCCTAATTGAACCTTCCTCAGATCTCTTTTCTGGGTTCTGAGTAGGAGTGGGGAGGTAGCCAAGCCACCTTGGTCACCCTGAACAGCACCCCTTGGGGCCCTGCACACTTGAACACACACCCTGCCGCAGCCCTGTGTCCTCAAGAGCGCCGAAATGATTGGGGGCCCTGCTCAGGAGGGTGACGTGGTGGCTTGCAATACCAATGCCTGAGTGGCCCTGCCCCCTTGGCCCAGAAAGAAGAGAAGAGAACTCTGAAGCCTGTGTCTAGGAAGGCCTTGTACCACAGTGTAGACCAAGCCTTTCCCTAGGAAGAGCAAGCTGGGGAGGAAAGGGCAACAGTACTGGGGAAGAATGGAGCAAAGTGCAGGAAGGACCACCAGACAGCTTGGCTCCAGGCACCTCTGCTTGCCTTCTGAGGCAGCTTTAGCTTCTCTTCTGATCCTGTTGTATCAGGTCCTGAGTGCTGACAGAAGGGCAATGAAGGGTCACTATCCTCTCTGTTACCTGTGGGAAGGGCCCCTGCTTGAGGAAGCAGGGACCCAGACTTCCTGGTGACTAGCCATGTCTCCCATTTTGTCCAGTCGGAGTCCAGCCAGTCTGAGGTTGCTTCCCGGAGGGATGAGTCTCCCATGGATGTGGACCAGCCATCCCCTGCTTCTCGAGATATGCAGTCCATTGGTCAGTACCATGCTCTTGTCCCAGGGAGATGGGAAGACCTGGCCTTGGAACCTGTATGGAGCAACCCATTCCCAGGCTAATGTGGCAGTGGCCTGACTAGTGGTGGGCGCAGGGCTCTTGCGCTGACCTATCTCCTTTTGGGAGGGTCTACCACTTAAAAGTATGCCTGCATATCTCTGTGCATCCAACCCTTTGAAGAAAACTTGGCCTCCAAGTCTGGTTGGAGAAAAACCTCTGCTCCAAAAAGCCCTCGAGAAACTGCCATCTGGTTGGCACTTGGTGAAGGTCTTTTGTGTCTGTTGGACATGAGACCCTGTGCTTGGGGATCCCCCGTTCTGCCCTGACAGTCAGGGGTGACCACTTGGGCCACCAGGAAGGCTTTGGAGTATCTGGCCTTCATGTGTTTCTCCTTCCCACCCAGGCTCTGAAGGAAGCCAACAGAGCGAGAAGGAGAAAGAAGAGAGACCCCCTGATCTTCCCCTGCTTAGTGAGCAGCTGAGCCTAGATGAACTCTGGGACATGCTGGGCGAGTGTTTGAAGGAGCTCAAAGAATCCCATGATCAACATGCAGTGCTAGGTGAGTGCATGGGGCCTCCTGGGCAGTGGGCCCCGTCTTCCTTCCTTTGCTGGTCCAAGGTGTAATCTGTTCTGCTCATCCCTTCTTCCTGTTCCCCCTCCCCAGTGCTGCAGCCTGCTGTCGAAGCCTTCTTTCTGGTTCATGCCACTGAACGGGAGAGTAAGCCACCTGTTGGGGACACGCGGGAAAGCCAGCTGGCTCACATCAAGGATGAGCCACTGCCACTCTCCCCTGCTCCTTTGACTCCTGCCACCCCCTCTTCCCTGGACCCCTTCTTCTCCCGAGAGCCCTCATCTATGCACATTTCCTCCAGCCTGCCCCCAGACACACAGAAATTTCTTCGGTTTGCAGGTGAGGAGGAGACTGCCCTTGGGAAGGATCAGTGGAGTACAGTTGATCGTGCTAGCCTGAGTTGGCCCCAAAGCTACCCTAAAGAGTCTGGCAGCAGAATCCCATGTCTCCAACTTCAGCCTGCCCTTCCTTAGTCGAGAGTTGGGAGACCAAACGGGAAGGAGGATGGACAGCCTGACATCTGAGGACCTACCCTTCTCACACACACTTCAACCCTAGCAGGGATTTAAGCTCAAGCTTGGCCAAGGGGCATGTGTCTCCATCACTGGGGCCCGGCCAGACTCTGCACGTGACATGTCCGTGGAGCTAGGGGAGATAGGACTCGGATCACAAGCACCCATCCTGATGCCCACTGTCTCCCCTGTCCTCAGAGACTCACCGCACTGTGCTAAATCAGATCCTACGCCAGTCCACCACCCATCTCGCAGACGGGCCCTTTGCTGTCCTAGTGGACTACATCCGCGTGCTCGACTTCGATGTTAAGCGCAAGTATGTGACGTGGTATAGAAGTGGGGGCCACTGCGGATGCTGAGCCTGATTCCTTCCTGGGGGGACAAAGGACACGTCTGTGTCAGTCACTCTTTCGAGCATACAAAGCACTTGGGCCCCTGGTAGTGAGGCTTCCTGGCCTGCACACCGGTACTGACTGTCACTGTCCAGTTTCCCAATCTGTAAAATGAAGGCGGGGGATTGAGGGGGGCAGGGGGTAGGGACACTTGGTCAGACTACATTCCAATTCTACAATTTGTCACGTAGCACGAGCCCTAGAATGCCACAATCTTGGGTAGTCAGTTATTGTGTTTCGGGTCCTGTTGGCCACCCTGGGCTTGAAGCAGATAGTTCAAGGGCCCGCGGTTGTCCTCTTCTCTCTGGGTATACATGGGCATGATCTGAGTCTGCAGGTCTAGGCCCCGTGGGGAAGGGTTATTCCAACTCCACTGCCTATTGCCTCACTTGAGGGAAATGTAGGGAGCAATGGCAAATGGCTGCTATGTGGGGGTGCCTGTGTACCTTCATGCTCCCACAAATTGGGTCTTGGAATATATTCTTAAGCCCTCAACCCCCAGCTACTTGTTTGGGGTTCCTGTCGCTCTGTTGTCTTAACTTAGTCCAGCCTTGCTGTCTGCCCACACCCCTGCCTTCCCTCCCATGTTCCCATAGGATGACCAGACTGAAGTCTTCCTCCTCCCTGTTCCCCAGGTATTTCCGCCAAGAGCTAGAGCGTCTAGATGAGGGACTCCAGAAAGAACACATGGCTGTGCATGTCCGCCGTGATCATGTGTTTGAAGACTCCTACCGCGAGCTGCATCGAAAATCCCCAGAGGAAATGAAGAATCGATTGTGAGGGCACTGGGTGAATGGGGAGGAAAAAATGCGCTCACCTCACCTTTCCCCCCTCCCACCTGAACGCGCGCACACACTCACACACACACACACACACACACACACACTCCAGCTACCTTTCAGCCATCTGAAGTATGACACTTGGGGAAACATGTAGGAAATCACTTCTAATGATCCCCAAATCTCTAGAGCTGCCACCGCGCCTCCCCCAAAATGGCCAGGTGACTTGCCTGCTTGACTCCAAGTTGACTC